GCTGTATTTCACTCCGTGTCGAGTCGCTGATGATAAATCATTTTTGAAATGGCACACAAATAAAATCCATGTAGTAGGACTGCCAACGCCTTTTAGCACTTGTGGCTTTGCCTTCAAATCACCAACCTCGAATAACATCCCCCCTCCATTCAAAAAACAGGTGCCCCTACAGTGTGCTGTTTGGATGATGGTCTGTGGCAGAGTTTGACACTAGAAGGATGTTTTCCACAGTCCATGCTGCTGAAAGTGGAAAGTTTCTGCTGTGCTCATTGAAAAATCTGATTTTAAAGGGCGACGGGGGCCTACCAGCAGGATCTGGTGAACATCACAAATACTTTAGAAGTCAGTCCTGGTCAGTATGCTAACTTGTACAGTGTGATGTAAGAAACTTGAAGCCACCAGTGCACTCCACTGAGAATGGACTTTACAGTGAAGTAGGGAGACATCTTGTGTCCAGCAGGAAAACTTTAGAAATCAACAACATTTGCATATTCAGAGATTCTGGAAGTTTTAATGAGGTAGAAGGAGGAGATTACTTTTTAAGGATTTTAATGTGGAAATTATTATTTTTCTTATTTTGCAGAAAAAACATCAGCTAAGCATTATTGTTCCCAGCAGACTATTTGTATATATGTCTTAATAAGTGTCTGTAGTGGATCTTTAAAAGTTTTAGCATGGAGCCAAGCGCCTACAAGAAACTCAAGAGACTACAAGAAAATGCCTACGATCTCATCACTCAAGGCTAATTTGAAGATAAAAGCTGTAATCCTTTGATACGAACACCAACCAGCCCCTTGTTACAAAGCTACTAGAAACTAGAAAGCTGCAAGAAATTCCATCACACAGAGTAAACACGGTATCTCTAGTTCCATCTCGAGCAGCACTGCACGCAAGAAAACTACATGCTTCTCCCCATGTGATCAGAGCAGTCAAATCATTCTAAACACCCTCATCAGCTGATGTAAAGAGAGGAAAAAAACAACCTACTTTGAGGTAACATTGCCAGAGCAGATGAAGGACAAGATGAAACACTTGTGCTTTTCTTTGTTTGTTTGCTTGTTTGGCGCTCCCACAGCTGAGAGCACAGAGGCAGAGCGGCTGAGCGAGATGACTAACTAGCTGGATGGCGAGCCGTGAGAATTTGGTTGTAAGGCTTCTTGGAAACATCCAAACAAAAGCAATCGCTCCCTCCTTTCTGTCCAGCCCCCCACCCCCTGTCCCTCCAATCTCTGCTCCCCCCAATTCAGGGCTGACAGGCAGACACCTGTTACTGCAGAGGAAGAGGCAGAGGCACCATGGTGGAATGTATTCTGATAAATGCTGAGTTGAAGAAAAAAAGAATAAAAAGAGAGGAAAAGAGAAAGATAGGAATGGAAGCAGTGAGCACACATACCTTCACATGGACCATACTTCACAGACACAGAATCAGAGAGTATCCTGCTTTTCTTTGCTCCCCTCTGGTCAAAAAGCAACAACAACGCTCCCTCTCCCTCCTCCAAACACTCATCTGGCCTGGGTCAAACACAGCGAGCGATAGAGAGACAGAAAGAAAGACATAGAGAGAGAGACTACAAGTGTCACTTGAGCTGACTGCAACTCAGCCCCTCTCTCTCTCTCTCTCTCTCTCTCTCTCTCTCTTTCTCTGTCTGTGTCTCTTTCTCTCTCCCTCCTCAGGGGCCATGAAACACACACACACACACACACACGCACACACACACACACAGTGTTCACTCAAGCACAAAGGTCCCCATGGCAACGGAGCATTTAGAAGCCCCGTGGCATTATTTATGCAACGTTGCATCACAATGGGCCCTCCCACCGGCTGACCCTGCCAAAAAAGCCCGCCGCTCGCCAGCCACTCTCTGCCTCTCTCACTCTACCTCTCTCTCTCTCTCTCTTTCTCTCTGACCAGACCATCTGCACCCCTCCCTCTCCCCCCTCCTCCTTCCCCCCAGCCACCATCAATGAAAAGCAAGGGGGGATTTGGGGAGATGGGGAGGGGAGGCTGCAGAGACAGAAGATGGAGGGAGGCACACACACTCTCAAAACAGGAGACTCATGCCTTCACACAAACACACACACACACGGTAAACGGGATGCGAGGAGTGCATAGGGGCAAAAAAGCACATTAGTTGCACCAGCACACACACACAAACATACACACCGAATCTACACACGGCCGAGTCTATGTTATTCGCACAAACTGAAAATGTGAAAGCAGAGTGAATTTTTCATTCACTTCCATCCATGCAAATCTTTTGTGTCGAGAATTTGAGCCACTGAGCAAAAGAAAAGCAAGTAGCAAGTCTAAAAAAGAAGAAACCATCTTATCAGTTGTACCATCCACTTTTACGTAACCGCCCCTTTGCCAAATATAAACTGCTCCACAAAAGAGGGATAGTTTGCTGTTTAAACTGGGTTTTTGACCAGCTAATGAAGGAGGACCCTCACTAAGCAATACAGCTATCTTGGTGTACTATGGTCCCAGGCTAGCTAGCATGTTAGCTCACCAGCTGCAGTGATTCACCAACTAGCCCTCAAGAAATGTGTTTAAAGGACCAGTGCTGGATTTAGAAGCAATGAAGTTGCAAATTGCACTATTGCAACTAAAAAAGGTTCGCCTTCCAAGACTGAAGGAGAAACAATGGTGGTGGTGAAACTCGCTAAAAACATGAACGATCCTATCTAGAGCTAGTTTCGGGTTTGTCTTCGCTAGTGTAGAAACATGGCGGTTCAACATGGTGGCGTTCAAGGATAGCGACTCGTGGCATCGGTAGATAAAAATGTCTCATTCTAAGGTAAACACAATGATTCTTATTTTCAGGTGATTATTAACAAATGAAAACATACCAATGAATATTGTATTCCATTTGTGCCAATAGA